AGGATGACGACCTAATACTGCTGACCGTAACAGCCTTTCCTTAAAAACACTATGTAAGAAATGTTAGTATAAACTGCTGTAAAAAAAGAAACCCTGGAAGGCATGCAATTACTTCATACAAATCTCTGTAAACACAGACGAGGCCTGTCCCAGCACAGTTTGTTTTAGTGCGTGGCCCCGCAGGGGTTGGCAGAGGTCTGACAGCCCATGTTGTGCCCGGTGACCTGCACCTTGAACAGCGTCCCGTCCGCGCACATGCACAGCTTGAAGCGCAGCCAGTTGCCGTTATTGAACTGCTCCCCGTAAGAAGAGCTTGGCAGTCGTGACGGGCTGACCATCACAGTTCCGTTCAGGATGATGCTGTTTTCCTATTAAGGAGAGGAAAAGAAAATAAATTGTAGAATTACAGCTTCTAATGTAAATAAGGCAGATCGTTTTTGAGAAGGACAAACTGGTTTAAGGACAAACTGGTTTAATGGATAAATAACATCTCTCAGATGGCTGTAGAATCAACAGTAATAAAAAAGGTATGTATACAAATGTTCAATTTTTAATGAAAATTATAGCGATGCCTATGGATTTCTAGTCAGCAATGCACTTTGCTATTCCAGTGGTGGATCAATATGGAGAAAGACAGCAGTAGGGAACTTTTCACTTTACATTCTTATTAGCAATTGCAGTAAATGTAAAATATGGACAGGAAAAAGGAAATTGAATTCATACGTGAAATTCATTCACACTTGAAAGTGCATATACCTTTATTTTTATCCTTCTTTCCCATCGTTCCATATGTACTGCCATCTTAATCTCCAGAAATCTTAAAGGAATGCTAGTGAGTCTTACAGCAGCAGAACAGAAGGTAATGCTCCAAACTATATGCTCTGCTCTACTGGCAAAGGTTGCCAACCCTGGTTCAGCTTCCAGAGGAGATTAACTCCCTCTGGTATTCACGTCAGTACAGAGGCCAATAGCTTAGCTTTAACTGCATAGTAGGTTTTTGGTGTCTTAACAGTAGTAAATCAATGTTACCTGAAGCTACTCAATCACTACTTAACAGCAAAGTAATAAATCATCTATTTAAATCCTACTAAATATACTAACTTTTATGCATGAGTAATTTATATAAAATTTGAAAATATATAAAGCTACATCAGTTTATTATCAGCTTAAATTTGAAGCTAAGCTGTTAAAAAAATTGCTTTGATTTGAAATACTTACTGCTTTAAGTTCCATGTTTCCACCCATTCGAAACTCAATTGTCTTGCCTGTGATGAAAACACCTTCATTTCCCCGGACAATGGCACGACCATCAACCTTTATGTTTAGATCACTGGTTGCATTGCTGGTAATCTAAGAACACAACCAAAAAAACCTTATTATGGATTAGTGAAAATGTGGCACTTGTGTTTGTCTGAGTAACTTTAATTACCTTAAAAGTAGTGCTGTGCAATTTAATAAAAAACTTCAATTTCCCTTCTGCCACTAGCTTCTGCATATTTGTTATTTTCCATGTTCAATTTCAAAACAGGATTACTGAATTTTGGAAGGTATGTAAAATTAATTTTTTGTATAAAGATAACAATTCATATGACAATTTTATGGGATACACAGCTATTGTACCAAATACAGGCTTCCTGTTAAGACAGATTATGTAAATTTACCACTCTGTTTTCACTGAATCTGTTCCTCCTATGTATTTATAGTTGTGGGTGTTTTTTCTGCAAAGGATTGCTCAGTGCTTCCAAAGGCACACTCAACCTCCTATAAAACCACTAACCCTACTCTACCCTTACACAAACAAATAGTGGGCTGTATTCTCATTACTTACAAGAAATAAGAGACATACCCTTTCTGTAGAGGCCTTTTGTACATTCAAGATTTTAACTCCATTTGGCAGATGAAACTCATGAGTTTCATAGTCGGTGCTGAACAAAGTATTTTGTGTTCGTGGGTCAACAAATTCCATGCCAATATCACTGGTGATAGAAGTTTTGTCTTTTTCCACGCTAAGCTTGGTTGTTCCTTGCTGAAATACAATCTTCAGAAACAAAGGCATGAACTTAATGATGTTTCAAATGTAACATTTATTAGCAATGTGAGTGTAACTCTCTAGTGTTGCTCACACACTTTCAATCCATGGTATAACTTACAGGCTGATTATTCCCAGTGATCACCAAGTCTTCATTCCGTCTCCCTCCTACGGTGCTTTTATATAAGGGATGTATAACACCCATGTCAGACACCTGCTTAAACCGCAGCAAGCCACTCTCGTGGAATTCCATACTGTCACAACCATTGGGGCCAATTCTTATCACGGCCCAGATAACCAGGGTAATCTGAAAGAGAAACACATTTTCAAGGACTATGTTGATCAGATCTTCCTCCACAATTATTGTATTAATTAGATGTTTTATTTGAACAATTATTAATGCCAGTGTTTAAGTGAGCTTTAAGTGTGAGTTGACTTTAGTTTGTTCCTACTGAAAACATCATAACACGTTTAATTATGAAAAGCATTTTAAATTATTTTTAGACTTACTTGAAACAGTAACTGAAATTATTTATATATATATATGAAATACTAAATCACATCCATAGTTATATCTTTTTTTCTATTTAAGGGTAATAAATAAATTTCCTTAACAGTTCAGCTTGGTATATAGTATGTTGAACTGCAAGAATGCATCCTCCCAGATGGATGTACAATTAAGAAAAATAATTTGTTACTTCTCATTGACCAAGAAATAAAAATGTGATTATTAGAACAATGAAGCTTTAAATTGCAGTGGCTGGTTAATTCTGAATGTTCACATACAGCTCTGTAACATAAAATATAGCCATGTTTTATATGCCATATATCCTGAATGCATATGTACTAATAACACTTTTCATGAGGTGACCATTATTACCAAAATACTCATGCCTGAACTTACACCATTCTTCCATCTAACCTTGCTCAGAATGCAAAAGAACTAAAAAGAAAGAAGAAAAATGAGAATCTCCTTCAGCATGTTTTAAGTCCTCAGCCATACTGGAAACTTTTGTACTGAACTGTCAAAATGAAATATGACCTAATGTTGCTTCCACTACAGCTATGATACTCACAATCAGATTGATGACGGCCAAAATAAAAAGAACAACAATCACACAAATGGCCAAGTTGCCTTTCCTGCCACGTAAGCCTGTCTTATGGAGACGGTCTTCATCAATTGGAATGTATCCTGCTTTGAAGTTGCTGTTGTGCTCCTTGTTAACATTCCTGCGTTCCACAGCCTTCTCTCGCATAGACTTCTTCACCGGGCCGTTAGAGCTTTGCTGTAACACAAGGCATGGGCTAGCTTTAAAAGGCATGTAAATTAGCTACAATGGCACACACATATGTATGCAAAAAATGTAAACTGACTAGTGGGATATATTGGATATTATGTTCAGTATTAGATTTAAGTCTGGTACCTGGCTGTCACAATACACACTTAGAACCACAGCAACCTCTGCTAGCACAATGACTAAATTTAAAATCCAGATACTTTCAAACAATATATGGCTTTATATCTCATTTTTATCATGGCAGAATAGGAATTATTAATTATATTATTACAGTTAAAAAACTAAAACCAGCTACCAAGAAATTAATCAAGTTTTTACCTCTCAGGAATGATACAGGACATAATCCTGCAGGTCATCCGCCAATACACAGGATTTTAGTTCCCTCCATGCTCATATGTGATAGACTCAGTGGCTATTCAAAATGAGTGTGGTGGATACAGTTTTTAAATTAGTTTGACAGCACAGGGTTTGCATTCAACTCCTGTTGCTTGCATGCAGCATTGAGAAAGATACTGTGAAGCTTCAAACCTGGCATGGGGAATTTGGCCAGAGTAGCTTTCATGTAATTATCTGAAGTTATGAGATTGTAAGGGATATCCTGTCAATGTAACAAAGTAATAGAGAAAACTCTTGTACGTATTCATAGTAAAAATAAACCTTTAATGTATTTTCGTAGCTGTCCAAAATTTTGTTCCACTCCCCTTGAATGGAACGGTTTGTTATTTAGGGATTCACATCTTCAAAGAAGGAGTCTGATCTTTTGCATGGAATTAAGTTTGTTCACTTGAAATGAACCCTAAAGCTACACCTTAAGTAACTGCACTTGCACATACCTACACTGATGTAACGAGTAACAACACCGTGGTTTTTTCTGCTGTTGAAGAACTATTAAGAGATGGTGTTGAGAAAGGTGCTTGACCTGGACGAGTTTGTGGAGGCTTCGCTGCCTCGGGGATGTTCAGGACCCCCTGTGACCCTGCAGAACCCACGGGAGCTGCGGGGCGCCGCAGGCACCCACGGCTGCGTCCCGCCCGCGGCAGTGCCGAGCGCCTCGACAGGCGCGGCGGCGGCGTCCCCGCACCGCTCAAATGCCAGACGCCTCACTCCCAGGGCACCAAGTATTTCTGTCCGTCACACACCCACGCCTGCGGGCAGGACGGCGCCGCCCCGCCCGGACAGCAGGCTCGGGCCGTCTCTCCCCGGCACGGCCGAGCCCGTCCTGTCCGAACACTGCCGGGCACAAGGCGGGAAGGGCCGCCCGAGCGCGGTTTCTCCCCTCCCCAGCCGGAGCGCCCCGACACCACACCAGCCTCGCCCGCCGCAGCGAAAATGGCACCCCCACCCGAGCGCCCCCTCAGCGAGCAGCACCCCCGGCAAGACAGCCTGCTCCCCGCGGCCCCGCTCCCCCCTGGCCCCGGCGGGGATGGCGCCGCCGCCTCCCCGTGCCCGTGTCCCGTTGCGGACGGACCTGCTCGGGGGCGGCCGCCGCCATCTTTCCCCGCCACCGCCGCCGCTGCGCAGGGGCCGCGGGCGCCCCCTGGTGCCGCTCCGCGTGCCGGGACCCTGCGGCTCGAGCCACCGGCGTTACCCGGCAGCGTCACCTGGCGGCCGCGAGCCATCCACGCGCCCCGCGAGGCGTCTCGCTGCCCCCCTCATTACCGTGGCACCGGCACCGCCGCGCCAGCCGTTGCGACACCACCGCGGCTGCAGAGGCCCTCCGACGCGGCCAAGCCCAGGGAAGGGGGCCGGGCTGGCATTACCATCTCCATTACACCTGCGCCGCCCGAAGAATACTCCCGGAGGGACAGCAGAGCGAGCTGACATCTAGCCATGGCCAAAGACTTAAAGAACCTGGTTGGCGCGGGAAGAGCCCGGGAGCTGCAGGAGAAGCTGGAGAGCTGGCAGCAGAACTATGAGGTGAGTCCTGCCACTCCTCGGGGCCAGAGGCAGCGGCACTCGCTCGGCGTTCCACAGGCCGATCTGGGACACTGCCCGGCACGCGCGTCCAGTTAGCGGCAGTTTTAACACTTGTTAAGCTCCCACAGCCTCGGTTTTTTGGCTTTTTTGTCCGTGACAAGGTCCCCTGAAAACAAGGGTTGGAGGTTAAAAGTGAGATTTGATCGGTACCGGCTGTACTTAGAAGAGAAGGAACGTTGAAAACGGCAGGTGAAAGGATCACGGTTGGGGTTGTGCTCAGAAGGAACGGTTGGGGCGCAAGAACGGTCAGGAAAACGTGAGGAAAAAGGCTGCTGAAAGTGAGAAGGGGTTATCCAGCATCCCAGCTTTTCTGGATGGGGAAACCTGTTAGAGTGAAAGGCTGAGGCAAGGCAACACGCAGCACGGCCGCCAAACGGCTTCAGAACGGGGGGCGGTGAGGGAGGAGTTTCCGTTACGGGGTGAAGGCTGCCGGTGGGTGAAGCGGAATCCATGAAGGGGTAACGGGAAACTGAGGAGGTGAAACAGTGAAGCAGTAGAGAAGGTGTAAAATTAGAGAAAGATAAGACTTCACAGCTGTGACTTTGCTCAGTGGAAAAAAATCTTGACAGAGTTTTCTGTCCCGCATTCCCAAGTTTCTGTACCCTCAGGATGCAGATAGTTGGTCACGAGTCTGTAACCACCTACTGTGTGTGCTGTGGCTGGTGAGAAAAGAGATGCAGTGTTTTCAGGGCAAATCAGTTTTTTGGGTTTTTTTTTTTTTACTTCATGGTTGAATAGGAGTTACAGTTACATGGCAGTGTAACTCTCTGCAAGATTCATGGCAAAGGGCAGCTTTAAGGGATTTGGGAATAGCTGGTAAAGCCACCACAGAGGAGGCCAGAGAAGGAACAGTGTCATGCATTTCAAAGTCTCGCAAATGATTGTTGGAGGCAGACCTTAAGAGGGCTGAGTGGCAGTGGGAGCTGACCTCTCCATCATAAGTTGGTTAGGAATAGTCTTTACGGTCTTGGGAAATGAAGATGAACATTTCCCTAAAATGAAGTTTTAGGCTACTGTTGCAGAAAAAGAGGAACTGCCAGATGGAAACACCCTGTTATGTTGCTGTAATGAGCTGGAAAAATGCATTTTGCAGCCTTGTTCTTGTGGAGGTGAGCAGGTTTACTGTGCTCCCCAAGGCCTGAGGAAAGCATGTTGCAGCAATCAAAACACAAGCTGATGGGGGAATGGGTGGGAATTTCAGCTGTTTTGGAAGCTTGTAAAAAACCATATGGAGTCATTAAAACCTGAAGACCTAGAGGGTGATCTATGTGTAAGGTGATACACAAATTATAGGTAAAGACAAGGAAAGCAGGTACAAAGTGTGTATTCTTCTGGCAGGTGCAGAAAGTGTTTCCTAGGCATCATGCTGGGTTTTGCTCGTTCAGTAGTATATGTTTCAGTTTGTAACTCTTAAAAATCAGGTGAAATTGCATGGAGGCTTCATGTGACTGCTGACAAAGCAAGATAAGGACCTTATATGTATTATTTCAGCTAATATGGAAAACCAGATTTTTGGCTATTTTTAAAAATCCAACAATCTGCTATATTATTTTAATAACTGTTGAAAGATTTTAACTCAACTTCAACTTGTAGTTGCATCCTCTTTATGATGGAAAAGGAGTATGTTTTCTCAAGTAGTGAATGAACTGGGTCATAGAAGTCCTGATGTTTTGCTCATTTGCCTATTAGAAATAAGTATTCAAAAATGAGTATTCCAATGGATCCAGTAAGAAAAGGTTGGGAAGATGTAATTATGGGGGGGTACGTGCCATGATGGTAACAGGAATAACTTTAATTGCAGATGTAATAATGCACATTAATTTACAGGGGAATTCTGCCGATGAAAATCTGAGCCGATGCTGTGAAATATTAGAACTGAACAGTGCAATTCAAAAGCAGCTCTTCTCAATTCTCAATGAAACATCTCAAGGAGGTAAATTGGTGCCTTGTCAAATTACTAACACATTCACGTGTGCCATTTTTTCCAACTCTGGCTTTTTCTGTAAATGTTCTCACCATTTCTTAATGTATGTGTTTTCTTAGATGAATGTGCAGCAAAAATAAAAAGCTGTCTCCTGCCAAGTGTGTGCTATGCTTCAGGAAGTGACAACCTTACTCAGGTGTGTAAGAAACTTTTTTTAAGGGAATAGAACTATGTGAATTTATACCTGCAGAAGCACTTTAATGAATTCCTGTTAATATTAGCCTCCCTCAGATTTTACTTAATGAAATATGTCCTTAGTTGTTGTGGAGACACCTGTGGAGACAACCATGCTATTATGGAGGAATTTGCTTTGTATGAGAAGTCTGTGTTATTATACTGCTTTCCTTTTCTAGATACAGATTTGCCATTTACATTTGCAGAGACATAGTAACAGTATTTATGCCATATCTCTTTTAGAAAAAATAGCACTGTGAAAATACATGTGTAAGCTGAAGGTGTGCATAAACTCCATGCATTAATATGTGAGCTCCTTTTACTGTTTTTATTTGAATGAAAAAAACTCTTAAGGATATCTTAACATTATATTATTTCCTAGAGTGTAAAAAAAAAAGAAGTGTTCATGTGTGTCATGATAGCACCATGCTCCTGCCATGATATTTGGAGTTCATATGTATTTGGTATTTACTGAAGGGGTTGTAATACTGTTTGATACTAACAGAAAAAAACAGATCTGTTGTGGCTTTCTGGCTTGAAAGAAAATATGAGAGTTGGCTAATTCAGGCTAGGAGAAGATCTTCAAGATCCTGAGATTTGACAGTGATGTCTCCATGTTCTTTGGTTTCTCATTGACCTGCTCTGTCAAAATATTTCACAATTAAAATAGGACAAATAAAAAGTGATATCCCTTAAGAGTCAGAGTCTAGTAAAAAGTAGGAGTGGTGGTGTGCTGAAACCCCCCCCCCACCAAATATAAAACAACAAAGTTATTGAATGACAGTACACCAGGAATACCAGTTACAGATTTGTAATTGCATGTGACATTCAAAATTTAAAGAAAAGCCTGTTGCGCAGTTGCTAATTTAATTCCAGTAGTAGCTGGTCATTCTATGGGTTGTTAAAGGCAGCTGCATCTATAGTAGTGTGCTTTCTGGAATGATACTTGCCTTCTATGTTCTAATAACTTTTTCTGTTGTTTTGTATACATGAATTCCCAAAAAGTTTAGTTGAGTTGGTGATTTAGTCAATCAGAAGTTGACTAACTGAAAAAAAACAACTATGCAACACATCTGGAAAATGCTTTTTTCTAATGATTCAGGCAGTAAATCTGCATATGCTGATCTTCCATAATTTCTACCATGAGGTATAAAATAAGTGAATATTTTACTTTCTGTAATTGAGTCTTTCTTTGGTGTGCCTGAAAGGTATTGCTTATGTCTGAGAGAGAATGCAATAGCTTTTGTTCTCAGTTTCTTTAGGAATGGTTGTTGCTGAAATATTTAGAAATATATCTGCCCATTATGCTCTAGTACTTTACTGAAGGAATCTATATGGTAGAACATTCAAGCAATGTGACTTAATTTCCTGGTAGGATTCAACTGAAGGTGAACTACAGCTGAGAGATTTGGCCTGCAAACCGAAATGTGAATTTCAAGACCTGGAGGACAAACTAAGTGAAACCCGTGCGCAGATCAACCTGATGGAACGAGAGTAGGGAGATTAACTGCATTTCTTTCTGTTTGCTTTTTGGTTTTTCTTTTCCTTTGATGTCTAAATATCGATGGAGATTTGTAAAATGTTTTATTTCTGGTCTAAAACCAGAGTTGCAAAATGCATCTGAGCACTGTATCATGTGTATATATCCAAAGTGGTGTACAAATGATACAATCACACCCACATTAATGAATTGACTTGGTAGGTTTTGCTTTTGGCAGAGGTTTTGAAAAACATGCCAGTATTCTACATAAAAAGGTTTTGTATAGTCCGTGACAATCCCTTGTGGAGTTATAGTCTATGAAATGTTGCATGCTGAGCAAACCCTAAACAAAAAATCGAGTAGCTACAGTGTAAGATTTAGTGAAGCACCTACAACATGTCACAATTAATTAGACAATGTAATTGATATGTAAATACCCAAGAAGATAAAAGTCACTGTCATAAGATGGAGGAAGAGAGTTGGATTTCCAGATAAGTGACTAGGCCTGAAGAGTTTTGACTAGTTGCATAAAACATATTTTATGGAGCATTATAATATAAAAAATTACTAAGTTGCTTCAGATACAAGTTTGTGCAGTTATTACCAGTTCCATGGCCATTTAAGAGGTAGCTCGAAGTGGCAGACACATTCTCATGCATCCTATTACCATGAGAACAATGAACGTTCCACAAGTCTTGGGTCAGTACATTAAGTGATATAATTTCATTCCCTTACTAAGTGATTCCAAGAATGTCAGTTTGGATTTTCCCCATGCCCATTTCTAGAGCTCTTCTTCCCAAATTTGCTTTTCTTTCCCAGTTGTCCTTTATAGTAGAATTTTTGAGCCCTCTTTTACTACTGTTCTGCTAGAAGTCCTTCCTGAAGGATCTGACTTAGGATGGAACTGGGCAGTGTTTCCTCTTAGCAGATGTTGCTGGCCTTATTACCTGTGGTCATCTCAGTCAGCTTGTTCCTTAAAAAGGTGGAACAAAAATCCTGTCAACTGATAAATGTTACAGCTTTTGTTGATTCAGATCCTCAAAAAAATCTCACCAGGGTCCTCCAGTAAAGAAAAGGAAGGACAGAGTGAATACCAAAATAAATAGAAAATATTTCTTTTTTCCTTCCGCTTTTGGTAAGAGACAACAGTAATACTGGTGTTTGGAGGGAGAGCACAGATGTTGGGATAGTTTTTAAAATTAACTAAGAGTAAAGAGCAGAAGATAAATTTGCTTCACTGGTTGTCTGCCAATCTTTAAGAATCATTCCTTTTGGGGACAGCAGGAGAGGAATTGTTAGCTTTTGGTATTACTTGAATAACATCTGAGATATCTTTTGACTGACTAATATATTTCAGCAAAGAAAAGAGCCCAAGAACCTGATAGAAGACAATACATAGGTTCTTAATCTGTAGGAAAGAAAACTGAGATGGTTTAGTTAACATCTTAAATATGAGAAATAAATTAGTTTCTTTTAAACCTGATCATCTGAGCTAGCATAAGGACGCCAAATGTTAACCAGTGATTTTTCCTATAGCACACAGTGCTATATCTACTTTCCTGCCATAATACACTTACACAATTTAAAGTAAGATCAAGGGTTTGCTTTGTTTCATTTGTTTTTAAACTCTGGATTTTTCCTGTATTTCAGCATAAGGAAAGCATGCTGAAATTATTCATCAAACATAAGGAGCTTGCTCAATAATTTTCCTATTTTTTCTGCTCCTTTTGTTTGATGATGAGGATTAATTGATAGATAGTTTACATTGATAGAAGGACATCTTGAGACTGACTGTTCTGTGTGGTTAAGTCTGAAGTGTTCCCGTGCTGAACCATGCAGCTTAAAGAGATTACAGCAACTGGATGAGTACGAGCAGAAGATTGAGAACTTGCGGGATGAGATTGCTATGCTGGATTGCAGAAAGTCTGTCATCCAGAGCAGGTAGAGACCTTACTCAGAGAAGTCACTGAATCATAGAAATCATGTTAGGTAGCATGAATTTCTTCCTCATTTAAAATTGAAATATAAACAAAAGCCAAGCTTTTTTACTTTGTTATGAAGAAGCATAAACTCTAGATTATTTGTTCTAGTGCCAAAATATTTTATTTTAAAGCAACTATGTTATGTTTGAGACAAAACAGCAAATAATGCACCTTCACAAAATACATGGAGAGCAACTGTGTGAAATAGAGAGTTTTTTTTGTTAATGAGTCCTCTTTTAAAGAGTTCTGCTCTGTAGTTTTAGTGTTAAATTTTTACTTGTTTGACTTCAGCAGTACTCTTCAGTGCTACTGAAAGAGGAACAAATCTCCAAAATATTACTAGTTAAAAGTGTGTTTCCTAGGAGCAAAGTGCTTGGCCTTACGTGCTTTACAAGTTACTTTACTTTTACCATTTATGCTTTAGGCTATACAACATATTATGAAAATGCCTTCATATTAGACTAACCAGCTGTAGCTTCTTTAATGGCTTTGGCTCAAAACTCACCTTACCCTTGTAAAAATTAAATTGATGAAGAAATCTGCCATAGGGAAAAGCATCTGAGGATAGTAAAGTGACATGAAGCTTCTTTGCACGTGTGTTGTAGGCTTGCTTGTGGTAGGACCTGCTCTCCACCGTGCCGTCTGACGGCCTGCTCCTCTACCATGCCGTCCGAGGGCCTGCTCTCCTCTACCGTGCCGTCCGAGGGCCTGCTCTCCTCCCTGTCGTCTGAGGGCCTGCTCTCCTCCACTGTGCCCTTTGAGGGCCTGCTCTCCTCCACTGTGCGGTGTCAGGCCCTGTGTCAGGCCCTGTGTCAGGCCCTGTGTCAGGCCCTGTGTCAGGCCCTGTGTCTCTCCTCCACCATGCCGTGTGAGACCCTGTGTCAGGCCCTGTGTCAGGCCCTGTGTCCGTCCTTCCAAGTGCCGTGCCCTTTGCGTGAGGCCCTGTTCACCTCCCCGGCTCAGGCGGGGCAGTGCTTCACACCGTGCCTGCCTCATAGCTCGCTATAACTTCATTTATGCTAAAGAGCGCTTGGAGGCAGAGGCCGCTTTGAGGCGATACTTCTGTGACTTGGAGACAGTGCAGAGGATAGTATACACTGCAGCTGTGGTGAGAAAGAAATATTATTTCTGCTTTTACAGGAGTGTTGTAAAATACTATGTCTGCATTGGTTTAAGTTGTGGGTAAAATAGCATTTCTGTCAAGTGCAGAGAAGAAAAGCTTTCTTTCCTTTTTTATTTTGATTTTTCTTTCTTCCCCTCACACTTCTACATTGAATTCTCAATGTAGTGTCCTACCTGACCTGTCCCAAGATTGGAAAGGGTCAATGATTTATTGTACAGGTACTAAAAGAGTGAAATTTGGTCTGAAATTGGTCAAATAATTTGGTCTGAAAAGTACAAGGTATCTGCAGTGATCAACATTGCCTTAGTTAGAAAAATTCTTTTGGGAATGCTGCATTAAATACTCCAATACTACAAAGCTAAAAATCTTTCCATATCATGCTTTCCTTATGCTTGTAGCTATGTGCTTTTTTAGTTTAATTGGGTCCCTTGAAACCACGTAGATACCCCACATTTGCCATGAACTCAGTTTGAAGAAAGTCTTCATTTTTTCGGTATTGAATCTTCTTTTCTATAAAAATGGTGTAACACATACCTGTATTAGAGAGGCAGCATGTCTTAATGTGTGTGATCCCAAGCACATTTTGCTTACTGAAGATTTTTCTTTCAACTGTCATTCAGTTTACACTCTCCAATTCACCCTCTTCTCCCAACAAAAGAGGTGTTTCTGTCTTACATGTTAGGCTGTGGCACATAAAATGCTGTTACTCATATCTTTGAACGTGATTGCATTGATCATGGGTATGTGATGGAATCCTGGCAAATATAGAAGATTAGGTGGGAAGCTTTTCAATCTTATCTTCTGCACATAAATTACACTCAGTCAGAGAATTCCTTTCTCATGAGTTAATTTTCTCCTTTACACAGTATATAATATTCCTCCTTATTTTGATGATAGTGGGTTAAATTCATTTTCTCAGATAACTGATAAAAAATTAAACTGGGTTTCCTGTATTTTAACTAGATGTTCTTTATGTTTGCAGGAATCTTTCCGTGCAGCAAAGGTGGCCTTCTGGAAGGTCAAAATAAATGTAAAAGACACTTTGGCTATATGTCACAGAGGGGGACCTTCGTCACTTGAAATTGGTGTCCTGGATTATATAGCTTGCCACAAGGATCTGTATGACGTTTGTTACAGTGTCCATGTAAGTCAAGGGCAGTGGGGAAGTGATGTGGTGATCTCTTTCTGGAGCTAGTAAATTCAGAATATGTAAATTAGAAATGCACTGTAACGTTCATGTAGGAGAAAAGGGTTACTGTATGGACTTTTGTCTTGTAGCAGTTTACTTTCTAGAACAATATTGCTAGGACTAGTGTATGTATGACTTAATAATAGCTTGTTTGGTTTGTTTATAGCAGCACATTCTTTCTGAAACTGTTGTTTCCTGGAATAGTCCAGGGCAACATTACTATGAGCTTTTTATACTTTGATTTTTAAATGTAGAAAGCTGAGAGGCATATTTAGGGGGGATTTCTATACTTGCTTGTGAAAAAAATTGTTAGTGAGTGCAAATTACTCATGTATGTTTATTTTCAGGATGTAGTTTGCTCCATGAACAAGAACCCAAGGCTTCCATGTCCAGGAGAAGTTGATTTCGTTGTCATCAGCGGTTTAATTCGAGAGTTGTGCTGTTTGGCTTTTGCAATGCAGACACTCATTCCTCCTCTTGATATTTCCTTTGGTATTGATGGAGAATGCTTCAATAGGAACATGTGAGAAATCTTTCTATTCAGTCAGACTTACCATTAAAGGTTTTGTAGTCTACTTGTTTCCTAATTAATATAGCAGTTCAAAATTGCTAAACATTAATTTGGGGTAAAACCCCCTGGCCTGCAGTGAATTTGGTATGTCTTTAAGGTTTAGGATAGTGTGTAAATATTAGCATGTACATAAGCATTAAAAATTTTTTTTTATTGAACAGCAAAGCAATTTTCTGGATAAACTTCAGTCTCAAAGCATATGAAATTTATCATTTAAGAAGAAAATGATCAGCAGCTTGCCCTGCTTAGTCTCTAGCTGCCTTTTTAAAAATGTTTGCATCTTTGTTCCTCCTTACTGGCCTGTTCTGTAGAAGTCATGTTTACTGAGATCTGGCAGTTGGTGTCATTACCAGGATCATCAACATGTTTGCTGCAACCTCCAGACTGTGGCTGCTGTACAACATACAAGTATTAATATTCTCCCATCTCTTCTGGTTTAGAGCTGGGCAAAACCAAAACTGCCTCTTAAAAATGGGAATTTTGTTAATAATTTTTCTTTTTTCTATAGGGTCAAGCTGCTTTTTTAGCAGACAGAGGGTGCTTCCATGTTGTCTAGAAAATTAATGGGATTGATAGGTTGTAAAAAAATTGCTCTGAAAAGCAAAACACTTTACATCATTAAGGAGTTTTCTAGTAATAATTCAGAATAGAATGGAACCCAGGTTGCAAAGAGCTTGAGAAGTCAAGGAGAGAAGTAGAGAAGATGAAAGTAGACTCTTGACAGGAGAATACAGAATCATTCAGGACTACTCAATGATCCTATCCAAATACAGAACAGTTAGCTTTTGACACTCAAAGCTATTGGCTAGATTAAGAATCACCAACACTGTGATGTAGTCTTGAGATGCTTTCTCCACCTACTTGGTTTGTATGGCCTTAAGAAACCACATGTAATATGTTTTGTGTGCTACTGTGGGAGACACGTACATTTGTCTATCTAGCTAAATAAATGTGGCATATGTATATGTTTACATGTGTAGCATGTATACGTGGTACACAGAGATGGGGCAAATTAAAATTGTAGAAATTAAAATATCTCTGTTTATTACATGTGATAGCATTCCACAAAAAGCCAGCCAAACATTGTTGTTCCCTATGCCTTGCTTTGTGCCTCTGGTTATGACATTGTTTTATATAACTTGCTATTGTAATACATTACTAAAGTATAAATGCATTGCTTTTAATACAATTTCTGTTATTTGGTATTTGTTCTGAGTTTGAGTCCATAAAGCCAGATGTGTTATTTATCCTTATAGGGGGCTTGTTCTAGCAAGATATTCCAGGAAGAGGGGATAACTGTGTCTGCCAAATTGCTGCTCAGAAGGTTTAATCTGTCAGTGGACACAGGGGCCCTGGCTTGTGTGGGGCTTATGCAAAAATTAAGGTCTAGTGGCCTTCTGAAGTGTGAGTTGGCTTTATTAGAATGTCTGTCAGTATAAGTAAGCAGTATATTCTGCTAAGTCTGTCTTCCAAGTCCATTTACTTTTACAGGACCACATAAAGAATACATACTTTTGTTATGTGGAAAGATATTAGATCTGTAGCTACTTTTTATCAGCATTGATGATTTGGAACATATTTGTCTTTTGGCACTTATATGCAGACATTTCTTGTACTGTTTGTTTCAACAGGTACTATCGTAGCTTTGACTCAGATTTCACAGCTCCCTTTGTGGCCTATCACGTCTGGCCTGCTCTGATAGAAGATGGTACTGTAATTGTGAAGGGAGAGGTAGTCACTAAAAAAATGGTTATGGTACGTATTTTGTTCAAGAAATATGTTAAGGGAAGTCAGTAGATTTCAACATGGTTTTTAAAATTTAAGAAGATAGGTTTTTAACTGTTCCCTAGATGGGTGGAGTGGTATATCAAATATCAATTAGGTTTTAGTGCCTCATCCTGTATATAGGATTAATAGTTCCATTTTCCTTAATGTATTAATTATGCAGATGTACGGCTGTTGTCAGAGCCTGTTCTAAAGGGAAAGCTTACTGTGTTTCCTCTCTGTCCTCAAACCTTGTCACCAGCATGGCAAGTCTGTCATGGCTTACAGAGTCTGTCTTTATTAAAACTCTCTCAGAAGTGGTTTGTCAAACTTTTCTCTTGTAGTGTCCTCGCAGATGCAGAATTAGGAGCAGAAGCTGCAGCTGTGGCCGTCCTCTGCTGTGTGGTCCAGTAAGCCTCAGATGAACATTTGTAGTGTTAACAGCATCAAGTATTTTAACTAGGAATGTAGGCAACCTGTTAAAAATGCTGATGTGCCACATGTACATTTTGAAACTGGGAATAAGTGCCTTTGCTTGATGGTCTCGAATGAAGTGAAGCTGAACTGACAGATAGTTATTGCCTGGTATAATGATCAGTAGAGGTACTGTATGAGAAGTAGATCATAGTTAAATTCTCAGAAGTATCAACTGTGTATCTTGGAGTGCTTTGCCCATACTCCCATTGCTTTAGTGCCCTCCTGAATAAATAATTGCATTATCTGGAAGTGTTTCAGTCATTTTGGAGTACATATACAACACGTAGTTCTGCCTCCTGGAATTAGTTACCTAAATTTACTCCTAATTTACGAAATGCATCAATGGGGCAAAAAATAGATGTAAGGTGAGCAGGAAGGGAAGGTGGTACACATAAGATATATGAAACTTTAGCAGAGTTCTGCATATTGTATGGTTACAAAATGTTTTAAATTATTTCTGTTAAAAATGTGTACATTTTTCTAATTGTTAGCTCATTTTATTAAATTGACATAGGTGCCCTCAACTTAAAATGTGAATATTGAAAATGTGAGAGGCTTTCAGTAGGCCTCCCTTTTTTTGTGTTTGTGCAGACTGTGAAAAAAAAAACTAGAAAGCTGTTGAACTTGACTTAGTAACAGCAGAGCTGCACTGATAGATATGCAGATTTTCTGAATGTTGATGGGTCCCCAGGTGGCTTTTTTTGGTTACAGTTCTTTAGCACACCTGATTTTCTGTTTCTCTTTGTCTTGCAGGTGGCTCGAAGCCGCAGTCTTTCAACAGTGAGGGTCAAAAGTAAGTGGGCATATTGGTTCCTAGTGACTCATGGTTTTCACATTAAGCCCTTGAACGATCAAACAAAAGAACAAAATAACATGTTGAACGTCTCTGATTCTGAAATACTTGCCGAAGTCTTAAATTGGGTAGGCCTTTTTTTATGTTTGGAAAAAGGCTGAGATTTCTTACTTGGAGGAAAGCTTGTTTTTTCACTTTACTTGGACCATTGTCATGGTTTCTCTGCTGGTTGCCTTCACTGTGGCCAGTGCTGTAGTAAGTAAAACTTGCTTCCTTCCTTACACAAGAGACACAAGCTACTGCACATCTGCTGTCTTCCTGCCTTTCAAATTCCAAAGAGATGGCTAAGTGGTGAGAGTGAAGTGAGGGATTTCAGGCAATATGAATGTGTGCCTATCTTGAAGCCAACCCAATTTAGAGATTTAGAAAATACAGTAGCACTGAAATGTACCTTTTTCTTCCATAGGACGCTGCTAACTGAACATCTTCCTGCAGTGCAATACAACTGGATTCAACGACTTTGCTGGTGACATTTCTCTTCAGAAATGCCTCAAATCTCTCAATGAATGGAAATTGTCACTCCAAATGGAATTTGTGTTCAGTGTGTTTATTAGAACTATAGAAGGGTTATTTATAATTTTAGAAACGAAACTCTTTTGATTTAGAAAAAAAGTGCGCGCAGCACAGGCTCATTTGGCAAAATTTGCAAAGCTCTCAGGAATTATGTAATCTTGCAGGTGGAGATAGAATTTTTGCATCTAGAATGCTGGCTTCCCCCAGATTCCAAATGATGCAGTTTAGCTTGATAGGATGTTTAATATAACCTAAATGGTGAGTGTTGCAGAATGTTGAGGTTAGCTGTTACTTGAAAACAATGTAATTCATTGGTTCTTATTTACAATTTTAGAAAATGTGATAATCATAGGATGTGGCAGTCTCCCACAACAGCCTTTTAATATATTCTTGTGATAAACTGAATTTTCTAACTACAATGCAGAAATTGCACAGAGCAGTCATAAACTGTCAATAGTCCAGCAATGCTAGAGCTTTATTGACATTTATGGAAGAATGCTCATTTGTCCTTTAGCAAGGCAGTAATAGTCCTTTTTCAAATACATTCTAAGTTAGAAATTATTATAATAAAAATTTGTAGTTTGGTAGTAGAAGTATTTTGAAACTGTGCTACTGAGTATTTGTAGGCTTGAAATATTTGATTGAGGCCTCTTCGGTGTCACACTTAATGGGCTCTCATACTGTATTGCTAGATCAGTAATTGTTATGAATACAGTGAAAAAATCCTGTCCAGTTATCTCTTACTGTGGGCATTTATTGCACTTTAAGTGTAAAAATTGAAGAGACCTGAAGAGATTTAGCAGTGATAAGATGTGGGATGACATGCCATCCCACTCATACCAGTTGGCTCTCTGAGCCAGAAAGAGATGAACTGAGGCTGGAGAGAGTGTGCAGGTCAGTGGAGAACACCTGAAGGAATAGCACTGAGGAACTCCAGCCACTGCAGGCAGAGAGCTTCACCAGGGGCCCACCTTAAATCCTCTATTCTAAAGAAATCAGGTAGGATGGGAAGTAAACAGGAGAAACTAGAGATGTGTGCAAGCCTGCAGGGCTATGGACCATATTGGCAACCTGAGAAGTGGTGGGATGGTTCGTGTGTCTGGAGGGCTGGAATGGAAGGGCAAAGGCACTTTACGAGGGAAAGGCATGTGAGATGAATGTTATTGCCCTCTCTGTTGACCAGCTGGAATGCATGGAGCTTGACCTGGGCATGGATGAGGAGCTGACTGGGTAAGGATTAAAGGGAGGGCAGGAACAGGTGTCATTATTAGTGGGGAACTGCTACAGGCCACCTGGCCAGAAAGACTGAGTCAATGAGGCCCACTACAGACAGGTAGGAGCAGCCTCATGTTTGCAAGCCCTGGTCCTCACGAGGGACTTCAACCACCCTTATACCTGTTGGAGGGACAACACAGCAGGGCTCAGGCAGTTCAGGAGGTTCCAGATGTGCACTGATGGTAACTTCCTTCTCTAAGTGACGGAGGAACCAGTGAGGGGAGGTGTATGCTGGACCTCAATTCTCACCAACAAGGAGCAGCTGATGGGGAATGTGAAGCTCAAGGGCAGCCTGAGCTGCAGTGACCACAAAGTGGTATAGTTTGAGATCCTTGAGTCAATGAGAAGAGTGAGAAGCAAGCTTGCTACCCTGTGCTTCAGGAAAGCAGACTTTGGTCTCTTCAAGGATGTCCTTGATAGAGTGCTGTGGCATAGAGCCCTGGAGGGTAGAAGAGCCCAAGAGCTATATGATATTCAAGGATTGTCTCTCCAGGGTGAAAAGCAATGTATATCTACAAAGATGAAATCAGGGAAGAACACCAGGATACCTGCATGGATGAACAAGAAGCTCCTGGACAAACTTAAACTGGTAGCTTACAGAGGGTGCAATCAGGGAAAGTAGCCTGGGATAAACACAGAGGAATTGTCCCAAAAGCCAGGGAGCTGTTTACAAAAGCAAAAGCACCAGCAAAAGTAAATTTGCCAAGGGCATCATAGCTAACAAAAAAGTGCCTTCAGGTGCATCAGCAATAAAAGAAAGACTAGGGAAAAATATGAGTCCTCTCAGGAAGAATACAGGAGACCTGGTTACCCAGGAATGGAGAAGACTGAGGTATTCAATGACTTTTTTGCCTCGGTCTTCACCAGCAAGTGCTCCAGCCACATTGCCAAAGTTGTAGAAGGTGAAATCAAGGATTTAGAGAATGAAGAACTATGGGCTTAGAAGCCCACTGTGATCCCCCTACTTGGCTTAGCTGGGAGGAGCTGGCTAATAAAGAGGAATGGGCATGATGGAATAGCCCAGAAAATAAAAACTTTAATAATGAAAATAATAACCGTGGCACAGGGTACAGAGGCTAGATTCCAAAGACCCCTTGGGTGGGGCAGATGCAACCAGGTACAGGGGCACAGGTCCAATCAGGAAGGTGAACTCAGAACATGACCTTATAAGAAAAAAGTCCTGAACGAACAGAGAAGGAGAACTGGAAACTTGACCAAATACAGGAAGGTTCTATTACATACTACTCCCAAGAACCCATGGTTCCCACTGTGGCCTGACTAGGTGTCCCTCCTCAGTATACTGCCTGCCATTGTCTGAGGTCAAAACCTTCTGTAAAATCATCTCAGATAAAGATCTTAGCAGGATGAGATTCCACAAAGGACTGTCTGCTGTAGGAGGAGAATGAGTTTCAGAACATCTCAGGAACCTGAAGGTGCACAAGTCCCTGACATCTGGTGAGTAACATCCACAGGACCTGGCTAAGGAAGTGACTAAGCCACTATCCATCATGTTTGAGAAGTCATGGCAGTCCCATGAAGTTCACATAGACTGGAAAAGGGCAAGCATAACCCCCATTATTAAAAAGGAAATAAAGAAGACCACTGCTTGTGGAAAAACCAGATGCATCCTCATTTGTTTACACTCTGCAGGACAGACAGCATTTTAAATGTAAAAAGGTGTCTGGTGCTGTCTAACTTGTGAGGTGTTTTTGTTTGACTCTGCAGAAACAGAGGGAAAAAGCCATTAAAAGGAGAGGAGGCGCAAAATCAGATAAAAAGAGTCCAAAAATATTGCCAGGAGAAGCAGGGTTAAGATGTGACTGGCCATTGCCTGTGTGTGTAACACGTGCAGTAGAGCTGAGGACTCACAGCATGGACTTGGTCAGTGAAGCTGGTCTTGCTGGACAATGCAGGGTAGCACTACTTGCACTTGGGCTGGGTGCTCTCCCTCCTGCCCATAGGACCCTCCTGGCAGGATGCAGGACTTGTGCTCCCTTGGCATGTACCAGAGAGGGGCTGTGGTTTGTAGAACACCTTGGAGCAGAGCAAAAACCTTATGAAACCTTACCAGAATGACTAGAAAGGGCTAGTGGGCGTTTTAGATGAAATTTTATGTATTAACCTGAGGGAACCAGCTTGGGAAAAAAAAATTACATCTCATGTTCTTGAGGAATTGTTTGTCTAAAAAAGGCTCAGGGCTCCTTTGCCCAGCATAAGACACAAAGCTGAATATTTCCCACGAGATGGCACTATTGCCGTCAGAACAGAAAAATCAAGTTTTAATTTCAACTGCAGTTTTAAAAGCTATTGCCATCGTGAGGTTTGCCAGTAAATGCATAATAGTCACAGACTGAAGTAGTATCAATGGATGTCAAATGGAGAATTAGCTTGCTGATTGAACTATTGAAGTTTGCTGCCTGATAAAAATATGAAAATCCTAACGTATGTGTTGTGAGATGAACATCATTATCAATACATTATTGGAGAACTGTTTGAGTTTAGGTTTTTTTTCCTGTTGAGGGGTCAATTTTTCAAAATTACATTAATGAGTCTTTCCAAAGTGAATATTATTTATCTGGTTGTATTCTGACCAGTCTTCTCAAAGAACATATATAAACTGAAATTCAGGTTGAAAATTAACTTCTCTTAACTAATTTGTCCTTTTAAAATTGCTTCTAGTTCTTATCAAGTTCAAGAAAATGGCAGCTTGCAAAATTGTTATCTTGTGTATGTTTTTTCTGTTGCAATGGCTGACTGTCAAGTTGCTTCACTATTCCCTTTGTCTATGACTGAAATAGATATTTTTGGACATCTTTGCAGGCTTTTTAATGAAGTGCAAAGCCTTCGAATCAGGAAGGTACTCCCTGGTTTTAGCTGGACCTCTGTTCGTTTTCTAATCAAAGACAGAGTCAATTGCACCTGCTGAACCGTCAGGATACAGCTGGAGGGAACACTGCTGTCACAGCAAATGGTTTAGGTAATTATGTTCTTCAACTTATTAATTACTGTTTTAAAAGAAAGTTTGCTTAGCACTATGCTCTATCTTTAATTGCAATGTTGGTCCAGAATGTCATTTCTCTAATGCTTGGAAGTTTTCTTCTGTATCCAGCCCAAATTTATTCATTTCCTATAGCCGAAGAGGCTATACCTCTTTGTTCTTCTGCAAGTGTGATTATCTTCAGAAATCCTCATTCCCTGTCTTTGGTATTTGCCCTACTGTTGAGAGCAATCATGTTTTCTCCTCTAAAATAAAACCACCAAATCTTTCCATATCCTTTGAAGAGAAGCTTTTCATTGCCTTGATTATCCTTTTTGGGTGGCTCTGGGTATATTTCTGTTTCAGTTCATCTTTCTTGAGTACAGATGACTAGAAATGGTGCCCAGTATTCAGGATAAGGCCTGACAACAGCTTTGTATGATACACTTATCATTTTCATTGTACCGTTGTAGTGTGTCTGTGGGGAGTGGCTCATTATCTGTGATCAGTTAATAAGCTTTATTATCCTCAGTTGTTTCAAATTGATGAGTCTTTTTCCCCCTAGAACTTAATTCAGCCACATATTTTTTGGTGGACTCTTGATGTCTAAATGCTTTTCATATAAATGGCACGGATCTTTTAGAAATGCTGAACTTTGGGCATCCATTTGCACACATACCATGGCAATGTGAATGCCATAGTGCATCATGGTGTGTTCCTCTATTGCTAAAACTTACTACAGGGTGATTCTTTGCATTAA